TTCTGGGCGAAAATGCTTGCTAATAGTAAAATGCACTTGCGTTAGTTATAAGACTCGACTCATAGATGCCCGAAAAGGTTATCTGCTGTTTTTTTTTTTTTTTTCTTTTTTTTCAAGATGATATTCTTCAGTGATTTACATAGGCATTAATGGAAAAAAAGAACTCCGAGTACTGCTAGGAGAGGAATGTCGAAATGGGATGCTATTGCACAATAATGATGTAAATGAAGACGTTCAATTTTAATCCTAGTGATTTGTTGTATTTTTTTACTATGAGTCATTAAGGCGGGTATGCAGACGTTTTTATCCTTCTCCGCGAGTGCCTCAAGCACTTGGTCGTTGAGAGTTTTCTATCTTTTCTTTCACGATTCAAATATCATACGACAAGTGAAGAAGGCATGACTTCTCAATTAAAACTCACCTATCGGCCAACGAAAACGCACTCATAAAAAATCGTGTTTTACAGGAGTCGGTAAAATCATTTCTCACTTTGAATTTTTCGGGGTCACACTATACCCTCGTATAGCTATTGTCTTAATCCATTTTGGAAAAAGCGGGTGGGTAAAACATATATTATCTCTCTGGACGTTGAAACATCCTCTCCCCGTGTATTTCCTTAATTGTGGTAACTCACAATGTTTACCCAGTGGCAATCCCAAAAATCCTTTCTAAAATACTGGGATCTCTTTATTAACGACTCGTGCATTGTAAAAAGGCCTACAAAGGCATTCATGTGGGATGCATTGGTCGCTTAATTGGTTGCCACAGTCATGATAGTCCATAAAAACGCAAACATGTTTATGATGGTCCATAAAAACGTAAAAACAACAACAACAACAGACCCAAGCTAATATCTTGCCATCTTGACCGAACAAGCTTGGTAACAAGAATTAAGTTTTGTTACCTAGTGTAAATCGTTGGCTTTAATATTAATCGAGAGTAACTGGTTTTATCTCCGCTGGGAGAGAAAGCCAACTGTAGGCGCTTCCTCGTTTGACAGATTGAAATAAAACATGTTTTGATAGATTTTCAACAATCCCTATTTGACATTAACTTGAATCAGATGACTATAAACTCACTTGTTTTCAGTTTGGTTAGGCCGGCTCGATGATCGCCAGAATAGCCTCTGCCTTTGCAATCTCTGAGGAAAGAAGCGACTAGCAGTGAAACTACCAGATGACTTCTCGGTGAAAACTTTGGGTGCCTCGAGATACGGCTAACTATTTCGTCAAAAGTTAGCTTTTGGTTTATTAAAGGAATTTCCCTACAGCAACGAAACTCTAGAGAAATGACCGAGCGCGAAGGAATAAAATGCTATGGAATTTTTTGTTCTAATCTTGACCTGAACACCGCAGGCGAGAAACTGTCTTTGTCGGTTTTCGTCGAAATCTTCGTACTCGCAACTTCCATTTCTTATCTACTACTTGAATACGATGTATCACAACTCTCAATAGAGTTTGTTAAAAATTCGTGTCATAGGCACTTTAATTACTCAGTTCTCTGGATCTAATACACAATTCTACTAACATTCAAGCTTATTTCATTCTGTGTGACCCTTTTGTTAATCTCTACGGCTCTCACATCTTGACACTCACTTCTTCTTCAACCAAGCAAGTTTTACTCTACTATTTTGCAGACTGTCTACATTCTTCCAGTCAGCTTTCCTCTCTCTTCTCTCTACTCTCCTAAGTAAGCTAGAAAGAACAAGCTTTAATAGTCACTACTGACAGATATGGTCGGGTATGCCAGCTGACCCTGGGAGATTGAACATTTTTTGTTAGAACACTAGACTAAAAAATTTCACGAGACTTTCGAAATGAACAACAAAGTATTTAATCACAATGTTTACGCCGGCTCAACAGAATCAACCTCTGATTGCGTTAGCCAAAACATGAACTTTCGTGTAGGTCCAATGCAAGGTCAGTACTCAAAGTAAGCACATCCACCTAAAGAAGTTAGACGAGGCTGTCAGAAGTCGGAAACTCATCCCGCCAGTTTAAACCTAAATAACTTCGGAATTCGAATTCATACATGAAAGGATTAAATCATACTCAACTGATTAGCTAAATGAATAAAGAGGTCAGTTTCTAAAGAAACTGTGGTGCTGGGTCGGTGGGAGAGTATAGCAGGTAATTTAGTGTTAACAACTGAGTTGAAAACGTAAATTAGCCACCGTAAAGGGTAAAAAAGCTGACGTTTCGAGCGTTAGCCCTTCGTCAATCGCGTCATAACATTGTATTTCCGATAACACGCACACAAATCCGCCGGTCAATTTCCCTGCGGTCACAAATGTGATATTCAATGGGTGTAACGTATCTCTGGACCTATCCATTGATTGATTGATTGATGAATTGGGCGAGTGAGTGAGTGAGTGAGTAGGTGAGTGAGTAGTGATTGATGATGTGACTGCTTGGCTGCCTGACTATCAATGAGTCAAACTCATTTTATACGCTCCATGAGAATCTGAGTAAGCCATGATATATCGTCACAAGATATCCACTCTCGCTTTATCAAAGCTGATTTATAATCTATGGCGTAACATACCGTTCAAAATTCAGTCAGGGTATTTTCCCTATCGAAAAATTAATTTTCGTGTCGGAAATCAATTAACAGGGTCCGTTATTGTTGGCCACTTTCAGACCTCCTCATTGTCTGCTATTTTCCGTGTCTGATATTATTTCCCATGTCTGTTTTTACTATTTAAATGGATTTCGACTTATCACCGTGCTTTATATTAAGACTTATCGAGAATCGAGGCCTATAATAACCTACATCACTAATCGAGTGTTTGATCGAGTTTGATTAATTCCTCAATCACGAGTCGGATTATCCAGGGTTGACTCCGTCCCAGACCTCCCACGGTACACCGTTGGCTAGGGGTAGTTGTTCACTTAGTTTACAAAAACGATAAGCACCACTTCTTCGCAAGTGTTGAAGCAAGCACTGATTTGGAGGTTATGACTGTTGAGGTAGGGTTATGAAATCTCTACTCGTAGTATGCACATAGAATCTAGCCACTAGTTATGTTATACCTTTGTGTAGCAAACTCTTGAACTTTGTGTACCTGGCACACGCGGTTACATAAGCTGATAATTGAAAGCCGAAACACATAAAATGTACGAATATTGTGTGCTTGTACATTAGTTTTAAACCAAAAAAATTGTCGTATTTTTCACAAATCTAGCCTTCTACGGCTCAATGAACGTCAAACTAAATATTATGCAGTTGCTGTTGCTCAGTAAATGCGTAATTTGACAGCACTATCTCAAGCACGGTCTACGAAAATGCTAAATTTCGGTTATCATTCACTGTTTCCATCAGTGAACCCTTAAAACCCCCAAATTGCGACTGGCTTCTCCTTTCTGCTTACAGTATCACCCTTGGATCAAATGTAAAAGTCAAGACAATGGTGGAAATTAACTCCAATTTAAGAGGCTCCTGATTGTCAAACAAATTCTCCTTGTCTGTACTATAAGAAATGGGATCCAAGGGATGCAAAGAAGACAGGGTACAGAATATGACTGACAATGTAAGAGTGTAAAGGGTTAACCACTTGACCAGCTCAAACTAAGCAAGGGATCAGTAACCACTCAACTGGAATTCAATGTATAAAGCCCATCTTTTATTTTAAAACAGCAAGGTTAATGACATGTTATGGGCTCTCTTTCTTTTGTATTAATGGTTGTGTATTTAAAGCAAAAAGTTGTCTTGCAAACAGAGTACAATTCAGCAGACATCAGGTAAAAATCTTAAATAAAAAGAACGACATTAAACATCATCATCAGTGAAAAAATCTTAATTTACACCTGTTGCTTTGAAATCAAACTAAACAAATTGTACAATGACATTCAGTATTTTAGAGAGGTGATAATAAATTAATTCCCTATGAGTGAGATATAAAAACAATGCATTAACCCTTTAACTCCTGGAAGTGATTAACACAAAACTTTTCCCTACAATATCCATACATTATTCAGCAAACAGATAATGTGAATATTCAATCTTGTCAGGTTGAAGCTGCTATCTTGATCTAGCAGCAAGTTCTCATAACTAATTAGCGAGGAAATGAGTAGCAGCTAGAGGGGAGAATTAACTATCAGATCTTGGGATTTAAAGGGTTAAGACTCTTGATTTCAGTTCATTAAATGTTGTAGCCAAAATGTGAGGGAGCAAGTCGCAGTACGACTCGTTCTCTCACATTTGTGTTGTACAACTAGCTAAGGTCCATACAAAGTTTCCTTTTTTCAAGTTTACTTTAGAGAAAAATAGCTAAAAAATGTTTTAATGGAAATACATATATATAGATGGTCACTTGCAATAAAACCTAACATAGATTTTCCTACTTATTAGTTTTACTTTTCTTTTTTTCTTTAGCTCTTAGCCTTCTCATTTGACGTCTACTTATTTTGTTCATTTCAATGTCATCTTCTTTGGCTTTCATTTTTTTTGCATTTAAGTTTGACTTGTTATTGTCTTCTGGTTTTCTCTTTCTTTTCCTCTTTTTGTCATCTGTGTCTTTTGATTCCCCTTTTGTTGCCTTTTTGTCCAGTTCTTTTATTCTCTTGTTCATCTTCTTAACTTTCTTTCCAATGCTCTTGTTACTATCATCTGCTAAATTGAATTTTTAAAGTATTGTTAAACTAATATGTAATGTTATTTACTTGTATTTCTTCAATCAAGTCCTGGCTATTGACCACACTATTTTTGTGGTCACCCTGATTATAGAAGTTTGAAAAACTGATGACCTGAACTTCTTAATGATGAGGACATTCTTTAATGTATACCAAAGTCAAATAATATTCCAATATTGGGAAAAAATCTTAATATTTTCTGTGTACATCTACTTGTAACTATCCAATTATAATGGTGGAGCACATCTATTTTTCACTCTTTTTAAAAAAGATGAAAAATGGGTCATTAACACCATTTTAGTGTACAATTTTATTAATTTAATTTAGTATACAAACTTTCCGGGTTACTTTACTTTCAGTAGTAATGGTGTTGTTTGCATTACTCTAAAGCATTCAAGTTAGATAAGAGGTGAAAATCACTTGCAAGGCTAGAACAAAAACCAATCAAAACATACCTCTGGTCTCAATGGTTGAATTAAGATCTTTGTCAGTTTGTAAAGGGCCAGTTCCTTTGAATGACACCTGGAAGGAAATAGGAGAAGAGTAGAAGCATCCCTGGCTCAAAGAATCATTGATTACAGAAATAGATTATCTTCATTTGTCTTTCTCTAGGAGAATTTAACGTCCAAGTTTTGGCTAAAAAATGGGAAGTTAAGACTTCTCAGCATTTCTTTCAGTTCCTTAATTCTATTTTAATATTAAAATAAAATATCTTTGAAATGATACAATACTACAGACTTGCTATGGTTGGGAATTCCTAAGAATTCCTAGGAATTCCCAGTCCGAATTTACCGTGAAAATTCACACCTTTATTCCTAGGAATTCCTAGGATTTTCCTAGGAATTCCTAGGAATTCCAAAAGCCATTTCGCAAGGGGAATACACCTTCCGTCTCTATAGTCAAAGTTGCAAGCTCCAGAGTACTTATGCACCTTCCGCCACAAAATCTACCTATAGAACTTCAGGTGAGTCCTCACCCAGGGCTGCAGAGGAACACACCTTTGCCTCTATAGTAGAAGTTGCAAGCTCCAGAGTACAAAAGCACCTTCCGTTGCTAAATCCAGTCATAGAACTCCAGGTGAAACCTCGCAGAGGAACACGCCTTCTGCCTCTATAGTAGAAATAGCAAGCTCCAGAGTACTTGAGCACCTTCCACTGCTAAATCTAGTAATAGAACACCAGGTGAACCCCTGCCCTAGTTGTGCCGTTACAGACAAATACACCTTTGGCCTCTATAGTAGAAGTTGCAAGCTCCAGAGTACAAAAGCACCTTCCGCTGTCAAATCTAGCAATAGAGCTCTAGGTGAGACCTTGCAAAGGAACACACCATCCACCTCTATAGTACAGGTTGCAAGTTCCAGGTACAAAAGCACCTTCCAACACTAAATCTAGCTGTAAGATTTTCTGAAATACATTGAGTTGAGGAATTTCAGGTGTGTTTTTCTCTAGTTGCAAAAGTACGTAAAGGGACAGATGTCAATGCCCTCCCTATTTCCTTTTCAGTTATCTATAAATGTGTGCATGTGAACCTATTATTAAAGCAATGCTCGCAAAATTGCTCTTGGATTTGGCATTGACAGAAAACACTGTAGATGTTCTCAACAGTAAATTAAAATTTAATCACCAAATGCATTAAAAGACTAACCACGTAAACTTTGAAAACTGTGTGAAGGGGGAAAAATGACCAGAAGAAAAAAAAAGATGCACTTAAAAAAGTTAAAAACATAGAAGACTGGGGCATTAAAAATAACTAAACGTGCTAAATTTCTCCAATCCACTTAATCTTAAATGCAAAATCTTTACGTTCAATCTCATACTTAAACACTTTTATACACTTTCTGAAAACATCCCTTGTGTTTTCTGTCATTTAAGCAAGGACAGGGTCTTTTTTTATCATCATAGGTGTTCAGGAAATTCATTACTAACTGTAGATGCTTTAATATAACATGAATGTTCACTATAACCTTTCAAAATATCAAGGGATGTACATTATAGGCATTAAAAGGATCTTATAAAGTAAAAGTAATCTATTATAATAGTATTTTATAATAATGATGTTCAATTATATTATCTTGATGAGAACATACCCTTGCGAAATGGCTTTGGGAATTCCTAGGAATTCCTAGGATTTTCCTAGGAATTCCTAGGAATTTATTCCTAGGAATTCCTAGGAATTCCTAGGAATGAAGGTGTGAATTTTCACGGTAAATTCGGACTGGGAATTCCTAGGAATTCCCAACCATAACAACTCTGGTTCTAAAAACCTAGAAATTCCTAGAAATTCCCAGAAATTCCCAGAAATTCCAAGTTTATAGCCAACAGGACTTGGAATTCCTAGGAATTCCTAGGAATTCCAACTCAGAGAACCAATGACTTCCCCTGAAAAGCTGTAAATCTTAAAAGTTCCTAGGAATTTCTGGGAATTTCTGGGAATTTTTGGGAATTTTTAGGAATGTTTAAGAATTACTGGGAATTTTAAGCAAAAATATGAGGCTAATGATATAAAATAGATACTTTAAATTAAAAAAAACCCAGCTAAAATTTAAGTATTCAATGAAATTTATTTAGAAGCTTAATTAAGGCTTACATGTAAAATATTTTTGATTAATTATTAACATCAATGTGTGGTAATATTTGGATGGAATTTGATTTATTTTTCTTTTCTTGAAAACTTCATAAGGATTAATCCTCAATTACAGCTATTCATATAAAATAGTTCTAATCAATCATTAAATTTGGTTTAATACAAATTGTGAATAAAATCTGTTGATTCTTTTCCATAAAATACAATATCTTAAGTTATATTTGAAAACCAAGCACTCTTGGGAGTGAAGGGGCTAATTACAGACAAATAAAATTGATTTTTTGATTAAAATCTTGTTGTAACTGTAACAATAAATTAGAATGAAGTTATCCTAAACTGCAAACTTAGCTGCTGTTTGTACTGTTTGTATTGATTTTCCTGGGCTCACAATGAGTTGGCCTTGAATGAGGTTGTCAACAAGAACCTTGACCATTTTGTATCTGGATTCCTTGACATCTGAATTTGTAAAAAAATAATGTATTAAAATATGTATATTTAAAGCTCAGACCAGGCTTTTAAGATGGCTATGAGGAAAAGGGCATTCATTGGATTCTCAAATTGAGAAATCTCTGTTATATTCAGTGACTTTTATATTGGAGTTAGTACATCTCTCTCATGGATTTTACTAAAAAAGGGCTGAATACATTACTTTGTTTTTACCAAGGAGGGCTTCTTTATGTACTAAGGTTTGTTTAATAACAGTTCCTATTATGAATCTTGAATGTTCCCAAACGTGACTAGAGGAATCTTGAAACCTTACTGATAGGTTTATTTCATTGTAAAGCATAAGCTTAAGAAACTGCGGCATGCAAGTGACCGATTCGATTCTCAGAATTAGTCTAGTTTCAGTTGCGCCGAGAGTTATGTAAGCTTAATTCAACCTGCTACATCTATTCTTTTATAAGATTTTGATCACGTAACGAATATCGCAATTTTTACTCACCACAAACTTTCAAAATCGTAGCTTTACAGATGGCCACTCGACCCTTGTTTGTACCAGTCAATATGTCAACTGTTGTCCCTTCTTTTAACTCCACGGCGCCAAAGACTTTCTTTTCTTTTACAACACTCACGCTATTCTCGTTTTCCCATTGAACCACAATAAAAGCTATCTTTAGAAATGTTATATTAAGCAAAACAGTTGAGAAAAGCGATCAACCGATGAAAAGTACATTCAAAGATGAGCGCCAAATGGAGTCTTCTTTGTTTCCGATCACGGGCATGATCACGTTGATCTTTTAGGACTTGTCATTGGCTAGCAAAGTGAATCCGCTGGCTTGCCGATTGCAGTGGTAAGAGAAGCGCCCAACTTTATTCTGACTTCTCCGACCGGTTCTCTGCCTTTAGAAGATGGATAGCTTGGTGATATAAATAAAGATGTGAGCTCACTCTATGTAGAAATAATCGACAAGAATCGATCGTATTACAAATGCACGATTTGTGGCCGAAAGTTGTCGAGGAAACAAAGACTCGAAACTCATTTGAGTTGTGTTAATGGCAAAGGTGAGAAATAACACAAGCCAATCACAGTTTTGAATGCGACTACAAATCGTCTTTTACCCTCATGTTTATAAAAGAAGGATACCACATTCGGAAGAACAACAAGTAAACTTAAGAGCTGTTATTATTGAAGTGTGACTAGCACTTTTCATTTTTATATAAAGAAGGACTTGTAATTTGCACCAAAAATAAAAAGATGTAATATTTTTTGGGAGATCCAGTGATTGGGACATTTAAGAAATTAAGTTATGAAAGGAAACTTGGTTAGTACTTCTCACTACTAACAAGTCTTGTTGACAAATATTTTCAGATCAGAGTTTCAAATAAAGTAAATTGAAGACGTCATATAAAAGGTGTTTTTCCTCAAAGGGAACATTGACTACCTCTGTCTTGTCTGCATGCCAAATGTTTGCAAAGTGTGTGGATGATCCACAAGTATTGGAATTCTTACAAAAATGTTTTGCAAGAATAAAAACAGCAAAACAAATTACAGCAATTAGTCATGAAAATAGTGCAAAAAACTGAAAAAAAGCAGCAACAACAATCATGAAAAAAGAAAGATTAATTAGGTGTTGAATTTGTTTGTCTAAGGAATGAAATTTCTACTAAAAGTATTGTCAACAAAAAGTGTCTGACAGCGTTTGAGGCAACTGAGCTTGACTGTTCCAAGGTTTTCTAACAAAGGCAACCAGTAATGTAGGTTAGGGAAGTAAGATAAAAATGTAATTATTGTTAATTATTGCGGAAGTTGGCAATTTCCATTTAACATAACTGACAGCTGGTTCATGTGAAAATCCATATTAATGTAAAGATTTACTAAAACTTAGTTTGAGTGATAAATTTCATGATCTTTAAGTTATAAACATGTACATGTATTTATATCTCTTGGTAAGTTTTGCATAGCATACCCTTTATTGAGCCAAAGTTTTAAGCCTCTGAAATTATTCTTTCTTAAAACCTTCACATTCAAGGTATTGAGAATTTCTTAGAATTTATGTGGACCTCAGGGTATTAAAATTGCCTCAAATTCAATTCCCAGGAATTCCCAAGAGTTCCACACTTCTTAAATTATAGGTAGTTTGTAAAGGTGAGTATTCCTAGGGATTCCATTAGTCCTCACAAAAGTGGAGTCTTCCTTTCCCAGAAATTCCCAGTAATTCCAAGCTTTTTAAATCAGAGTTAATTTGCATAGTTGGGAATTTTTGAGAATTCCTAGGAATTCCTAGGAATTCCTAGGAATTCCCAGAAATTCCCAGAAAAATGGGAATTCAGTTTGCAAGGGTCATTTGCATAATTGGGAATTTTTGAGAATTCCTAGGAAATCCTAGGAATTCCTAGGAATTCCCAGAAAACTGGGAATTCAGTTCGCAAGGGTATGGAATTAGTGACTAACAATATAACCAAGATAATGGTCATCAAATTAACCAGGCTTGTGTGTGTAAGCATCTGTAGCCAAGCAGCTGCTGGCAAATCTAACCCTAGCTAAGGTTTCCTATATCACCTAATCCCAACATTTAACCAGACAAAAAAAAACTGGAATATGTCTGGCTAAAATTACACAGACAGAAAGAATTGCAATCTGCAGGCAACAGATGATACACACATATGGAGGTGTTCTGGTACATGTTATGATAAATGTGGCCATGTGGATGAAGCAGTATGAAAAGTCAGGAGAGATGAAATAGAGTGTTAAAAAGCCTCAACTTGTAAGTACAACATGTGTACTTACTTTTTCTGGGGACTCTGACATGAGTTTTTCCATTTCCTCTTCAGACTGAAAGTAAAGAAAAAAACTTCAACTCAGTTCTAGTCTGACTGGCAAAGAATGTTCAAACATGTAGTTCATTTTAGAGTGTTGCCCAACATACAGTGATTGATGAAAACTGAATATTGCTCACAAGATAACAAAGTTCTCCGAATGGCATTATCAAATAACCTGCAGTTTTTGATTGCAAAAAAAGAAACATGGGGTTTGAACCTAATTCAAGGGTTAAAAATACCACACACCAATACTTGAATTGGTTAATTGATTCAATACCTTTTCTACTAGCCGCAGCACCTCTCCAGGAGGTTTAATAGCCTCTGTTGGAAATACTGTCCTGTTTTCCTGTGTCTCCAGGGAAAAGAACAATGGCTGCATCTGGCTACTCCCAAGCCAGTCATACACCTCCTACAAGTAGTTAATAAAAAATTGCATAATATGAGCTACATGAGGGGATGTGCAGCAGCACTTTTTAAAAGCAAATCTCCTTTCTCATGTTGTGGTGCTATTATAACACTTATAATTTCTTAAAATATCAAAACATTTGGATTATTGTGTACATTATTTTAAAGCTGTATTTGCTTTCAAGGTTATCATGCATACTTACTTGATAGCAACCTCCTCTGTGAAACGTTCTTTTGAACAAACAACTGGGTGTGTAAACTTTAATCTTTACACCATCTTTTGGTCTTTTTCTCATCCGATTTTCTCGCAAATTGCGTATTTCTTCGGCCTGTGTCAGAAACATATTTGTTTTCCATTCATTAAATCTTAAGAGCTACTTGTATCTTGAAAAAGACAACATAATGATGGAAAATGTATACCTTTGAAATATTTTATCTATTTCTTCTTATAATTATGTTTTTCCAGATCTCATTGAGCATGTTTGCTGGCTGTGAGAGTTGAAATGTATGTATAACCCCATTTAAGTAAGCTGCAAAAGGGTTTGCATTATGTGAAAGAGCATTTTAAAACAACACAAATACAGTCTTAATTATTTCAGATATGAAGCACTTACCATATCATTTACGGGGAGGCTTAATTCTCTGTCTTTTCTTTCTGTAGGTTGAAATGTTGGCCTTGCTGCACCTTGTTGTTGGTTCCTCTGTTGTTAAGTAAGAACATTTATAATTAAGATGTAGCTGATACCAAATTTAAGTCTCTAACTTTAAGTGTTATTGACAGAAATATTTGTTTGCAGCTGGTTCTAAAAAGAAATCAATTTTTTCATCATTTGGAATGATGAATTTCCTCAAATGATTTGTAATGGTTGATGCAATCAAATTCTAAATTACCATTCAGTCCTTTTCCCCTTCTTGCTGACTAGTTTGGTGCATATAATTATCAAAAAACATTTAACCTGTTGCCCACTAGCCAATCAATCTATAACTTGTATGTATGAAAATAAAGGCTGTATCAACCACTGTAATAATGAAGGTTAAGGCAGAAGAAGGCTAAAGAAATCTCCTTGTTTTAAGGTAAAAATCTGTTGAAATAACCATACTTTAGAAGCATCTGCTTCCTGAGCTGCATGGCACACCTCATCTTGTTCACTCTGCAAAGCTCATGATTCCAAAATCTTCCTCCTAGCAGTAATCAAATATGTTTAGAGACAATTGACACATTATAGGGTAAAATAAGATAATCTTAAATAAATGCAAATTGGACACTGTAAAGAGTTTCTACGCTTGCCTTTTGAGTGTTAGCCCTTCATCAGAGTGACAGGTATAGTTGATTTCAGGACTTAACAGTTTTTTCTGCGATGCAAGCTTGGTTTAATTTATTTGATTACAACTTGATCCAAGTTATGGCCATTTTTAGGCAAAATGAACACTTTTTTCAGCCTGACAATTATGCAAGCCTGGGCTATTAAAATATGTCCAGTAAGTTGCTCAGTACTGTTGACAACAATTTTTTGAGCACTATTTTGATTACATGAGGTCTTTAATCAATTTTGCCCATGTATCAGACAAAATTGTACCATATTGGAATATCATGGTGCACATAAAATTAAAGCTTTATCCAACAAGAAAGGGACTCCAGAAAGATCTATTACCAGTTGGCATGTGCAATTTCCACGGCTTCTGCTGCCCTTTGCACCGCCTCACTTATTTGGGAAAAGTCAAAAAAGCTCCCTGTAAAAATAACAAAAAAGAAAGTTAATTATAATAGCTTTAGCTTTGATTTTCTTGTTTTGTATGCACTATGAGGAAATACCCATACTTTTGCATCAAGAGAGTTCCTACAGTAACCTTCAAATTTTCAGTTAATGGCTGAGGCTTTTCCAGAATAGAAGTTATCTTAGAGTAAAGCAAAACTCAATTGAATTTTTTACCTGCATATCTCTCCACAGGTGTGGGTTGGCTTGACCCCCCCATGGATGGTGTACACAGAATAATCTGAGGTGCACCAAGAGTTTGGCCACCAAGTGCCTGCATGGCTAGAAACAGAAAAAAAATCATTTAATTTCCTCCTAATGGTAAAACTAGCTTGCGATCTACACAATTTATGTAAAAGCTTAATATCATTTTTGGTGTTTGGTTACTGCATTTCCTTGATTAAGTGCCCATGCCCTAATAAATGCCCCCTCCTCTGAATAAAAAGCCACCCCTTGAGCCTAAATGTCATTTATGACGGCATTATTCAGGTCACTGTATAACCAAAAAATAAGAAATTTGAAATGCTTAAGGAATACAGAGTGGGAGATGTGGTAACTGAACAGTATGTATGGGTATGGATACATATATAGAAAATAGAGATATTGAAAAACATTCCCGATACTTATTAAAATGATAATCATAGCTACCTCAACATGTCTCTCTCTGCAGAAGAGAGAGTGTGTGAAGCCTTTAAAATCACAATCACCGCCATCTGAAGGCCTCTTTTAATGTGATAACAAAGCTAAAAGGAGAAAGAATATCTCATTGTGTAAAGCATACCTGCTTGAAAAAAGTCAGGAAAAGGCTGACCCTCTGTGGCAGTACAGACTGGGTACAGCAAGGTCCATACAAAAACAACTAAGGGACAATATTCCTCAGTATGGCTTGAGCTAGTGATGTTAGTAAGTAGATTAGTTTATGGTTCTTGGAAAATATATGTTTACTTTGAATTTTTGCGGTTTTCGAGAAAAAGAAAATGATACAGCACAGCTTATGTCTGTTTCAGTGGAAACTGACTCCACCAGAAAAAATGCCAACCAAGCAAGAACCAATCAGAACCCTTGGAGTTACATCAAGACTACCACACCACATAGTAATATATGATTACAATGAATCCAAACTTCTAGCATACTGCATATTTTGAAAACACCTTTATAAAAATAATTATTTTCAGGTTTTTTTTTACCGGTTACATTTACTAGAGCTATGGTATAATGTCAACTAGCTTACAGTTTTGAATGGGATTCCAATGAAGGAAACTCCAGGACAAATATTTGCGGTATTTAAATGAAATACGGTTTGGCAAAAACCATCTGTACACAATCCTGCAAAGGTAATAGTTAATGTCTACTTTAGAGCTCATCTGATCCCACTGCCACTCAGAGTGTTATTATATAGCTCTTACTCCCAAACCCCCATCCCCCATACAACCATATTTAGGTCAGTTTTCCATTCTATGCTCATAGTAAATAGGGGCACTATTGAAGTTAGAACTGAAGAGATTTTAAGAGAAACTATCAAATGGTTCACAATGGGTGATGTTCTTAGAATGGACATATGTATGAAGTCAAATGCAGCCATAAGCTATATATGCAATGGAGATGGTAACAGTTGTGTCATGGGAAAGTAGAACAAAAAATTTCTTTCTTGCTACAACTACTAACGATAAGCTACAAATGTATCCTGAAATTATCTTATACGCTAAAACCTCCCTTTATGTATTGATTTCGTGGTACCTGAGTATTTAAGTCCAGAGTCCGAGAGCTTGAAAGTCACTGAACCCACTGCAAAATGAAGGGGAAAACACAAGTTAATTGAGTATCAAATGAAAGAGAGAAGAAAGGAAATTAAAACATGAGAAAGCAGACCAAGCATTGGCTTAAATTATCTTTTGTTGATTCGAATTTCAAACAATATACATGAAGTTCCTGGACGCTGGTCGCCATGATATTGGGGCCCAAGTTCACCTGACAAGATAATTGTGAGATTCAGTGGTTTAACTAAGGGAGTAATGTTGCTGCTGATTGGATGTAAGACTGGTGGTCAGTTTGAGTTCAAATCCAGTATCTGGAAACTATAAAGTCATGTACAAATGTTTTTTCATGATCTTGCTGATTTTAATTCAATTGTCCCTAAATGGAATATGAAAGCCAGAACCTTACAATCATATCCAATATCAACATAGAAGGTTATGAGAAGTTACATAATTACGAACTTAATCAAAGGTTAAGAGAATGGTACCTTTCTCCAGCTGACTCTGTGTGGAAGTTGAAGGAGCTTGTACACCTGGACATGAGACAGATTACTAATTAATTCAATTTGAAACTAGGTATGCAGCATTCAGCAATTACTGACTCAGCAGAAATGTATCTAATCCTTCTACAAACACTGTAATGTTGAAGTTTGGTCAATAACTGGCTCTTTGTTATCTTGACTTACAGCTATGGCTGAAATTTTTGCCAGATGTGAATCAGGATTATGGAAATAAGGACATCAAGCATTCAAGTGCCATCAAGAAGATACATTTCTCATTCCTTTTACTATGGCAATCACTTGTGATTCAGTATTTACCTTGATTTGGGGTGGTGATTTCCCTTTGTCCCAAGTCAGGTGGAGAGTTAACTGTTTGGCTCCCCCCTGCGACAGTGGCAGACAGGAACACCCTAGTGCTGGCCTGTTTATATTGTTTGCGGATTAAATCTGCAGACAAATTGCTGCCAACTTTATACAGTTGATGATTTCCACTTGGCTTTGCTTTGTAATAATCAAGGTATCTACGGATAAAAAGCACAGGTACCAAGATGACTTATTAACAATATGTAAAAGAAATCAAACCAGGGAACTTACAATCAAACCCTGAAGAC